AACCCGACGACACAAAAATAAGGAAAAGATACAGAACACCTATTCAAGTCTCATTACCCTTTCCTGGAAAGCATCACGCGGCCGCACAGGCCTATTTTTTAAAAAAAAAAAAACGAGAAAACCTGAAGGAATCCTGAAAAGTAGCGCTTTTTCAGTATGTGTCTGCTCAAGGAGCAGCCTACTTACTTCCTCCTGCAGCGGACTTCCTCTGCAGCCAACCTCTCTACCGCATGTCTCCTACCCAGTATATATGGAAAATCCACTATATGCCGTTTGTAGTTCACTTACAGTTATTGTTAATGACTGCAATTTCAAAGGCTACTTACCATCACATAGCTGATTGTAAGCCCTGCTATATTCGAGGATACCTCGATGCTCTCTATAAACAGAAATCTTCTCAAATGCTGTCCCAGAAAATCCTGAAATTTCATCAATTCCTTACAATCTCAGAACAAGGCTATTTTGGGCAGGTACTTAGAGAAACGCTACTGGACGTGACGTACTTATAAGAATCTTTTTCAGTGAAGACCAACTAATCTACTCGGTAGTTTGTCTTTTACTTGAGTTCAGTGAGCCTGATAGTTTGACGATACATTCAGAGGATGTATTCATTCTCTGAGTGTATCGTCAAACTATCAGGCTCACTGAACTCGAGTAAANAGCAATCTTGCCCAAGGTGAATTGAAGATCTCAAATTCGTAGCGTCTCTATCGTCGAAAACTGTGCTGGAGGAAACGTGATTACATCCTAGAAATGCAGAAGTCATGACTGTGGGTCGATCACTTCATATGATATGATAAGAGTGAAGCTGTAGCAGTGATAGTAATTTTCATTCTCTAACGAAAGTTATCATACTTCACTATTGTTCATCGTCGAGGTTAGTGCCTCGAAGCTCTTTGTCTTGTCCTCAGAACGCTTTCACGCTCATGTTTTCTCCTTTTTTCACTTATACTATAATATTCACAGCAGCCTCAAATATTCTAGGGAGTGGTCATTGACCAGAAAAATAGCGTGGAAGAAGACTGATAGTTGTTCCCAGGATAAAGAAAAACTCGGTATCACTTGGAAAAAATTGCACTCCTGTTTGTCTCTGGTCAAAATACAAGGCACAAACAGAAATCAAAAGTAGCGCCTTCCACGGCTTAGCGTGTGCGAAAACCAGCATACGCCAAATTATACAGTTCTTCGACAAATCATGCCTTGCGATGGGTAACTAATTGTAAGTAGATATCGGTCGTTTTAAAAGGGATCCAATCACAGCAAGGATATGCAAAGATTCCGTTTACAATTTCCAGTTCAAGAAATGAGAACTCAAAAACTCGAAAGGCCAGAAAACAGCTAAGGTTTAAAGTGGTATCTCGACATGTCAAAAGGAGGTTCCTCGAGAAGTACTGTCGAGCCACGTTAGATGGAATGGGAATCTAGAACTGTGATGTTCATTTAAAACTTCTCGAAAACAGAAGAAGATGATAAAGGTGAGCAATGCTTTGTTCTGAACTCCTCTTCCCTCTCTCCCGTAGGGCACCGAATTGGCTGTACTATCTACAAAATTTCATAATTCTATCTCGGAATGCTCTTCACGTAGGGAACTAGTGAAGGGTGAAATTACTCAAGATATACTGAATATAATAGGGAAGACCGAAGCTGAGCATGCTCTCTGTAGAGAGGAGGCAAGCTCATGCAATACAAAAATCCATAGTTTGCTTCCAGTACGCCATGAAGACATGGAAGAGCAAAGAAGGTAGTGTATTTACTCCATGGAGGTAAACAAGTTAAGATTACCCTATGAGCTTAGCGACTAGTGTTTGAAACTGAAACTCTTTTGGGTGTTCATCAACACAGTTTGTGGGTATCGCCCCCCCCCCCCCCCCCATTCAAATTCCATTTCAACTGTAGTTTGTGAATGCGTATATGGCCTATTCGATGAATTAAGCAGGGCAGTCATTGCAGAGCTCAGTGCTTTTTCCTCTCTCTTATCTCTTCTGTTTCAGTTTTAGTGCCTCTATTAGTACACAATAGGGAAAAAAAGCGAGGACAAGGCGGAAATCGGCTTTTGGGAGAAATATGAGGCTTCAAAATTGTAGTGACGTTAAGGGTTGGATGAGAATTTGACGGCAAATTTTGCATGGAGGGAGTACTTGTACAACTGTTGAAGCCATCCCTCAAAGCTGGCCACAGTGAGCTGCCTGCGTGCAACGTGGGAGTGAGTCCCGGTACCAATGATGTACCCTCTACTGTCTCTCCTAAACAGTGAGAAATCGACCCCTCCAGGTGTGTGCGTCGGCTGAACCGGTTTTAGTACTCTTGCTATGGCATATATAAGCTATTCTTCTACCCGGCAACCCCCCTATGCTATATTTGGGGGTACTCGTTTATCCTAGGGAGAAATCTCGGGGACGATTTTCATCATGAACGTACCTTCAAGGTAGACGGAGATGGAGCGAAAAACATTATCTGTACGTGAGCATAAAGCAGGAGGATGTGTCCTTTACCAAAACTTTTTTCACGATCTTTTTTCACGTGCGATCCTCTTCAAATGTTTAAGCGTATCACATCGAATTTAGCTGTCAAAATTTTCCCTGTAGATCCATTGTGAACAGTTGTTATCATCATTGTGCCAGCAAACCAAATAAACCACTTCCTGATACCGAACTATAAGCAAACAAGTTCAAGTTCCCTGTTCTCATTCAGATAAGGCATGTCAAACACATGGTGGTTCGGAATCGGTTCAAACAAGTTCCCACTCGAGTAATTCGACTGCAGCTGAAGTTGCCGTGCTTGTAGATTCGTTTCACACTTCAGAATGTGATAGATATCTCGACGAGGTCGAGGTGTCACATTCTGATAGTTCGTAACGATTCTGCAAGGGTCGAAATGTCAAAAAAAGCGCTCACGCAGTAATTATACTTTCAATTCCTTGTGGTTTGTTTTCCATTCGTAACCAAACGTATAGGGTGAAACGGTGCAAAACAGCGACAAACATTAAGCTCGATCACTGTGTACTTGTGACCTGATTGTTCCAGCTTGTAAGTTAGCTTGTGAAAGAAGTAGTCCCGGCGACAATTCAGAAAATGTTCCGCCATGCGTACACACACGTTCACAAAACATGGATCAGTACCACAGCTGTCAAGAAATGATATTGGGACGAATTCATAGTTTTACTCGTGACAGCTCACAGAGTATCCTTGCCCGCCCTTAAGAACCTCTCGAACTCACTGAGTGTTCGGGTTTCTAACTGAGCGGACCTTTTCAAATTTAGATTCATGGGTTACCTGAAGCTCCACTCTCTGCAACTATTCAACTATCACTCTTTGTTAAAACGTCGTTTCGCCTATGAAAACAGTGGAAGTTGCAGTCTTCCTGCAATGATCTGCTATGAAGGTATCAAGTTTGGTCGTCCGCCGTCATTGAAGACCCTTCTCACCCATCGGTTTTCCACTTTTCACCACTCATAGTTAAGGTATTCTGTATGAAGGAAAAGACGGTTTTGATGACAAAAAACCAAGTGGGGCTGAAACTATACAACAACTGAAAAAACACGATCATGGATTAGACCATGACCAGGTCAGCTGAAATATTATAAGCCATTTAAAAACAATTCAAAATCGTGAACTGCTGAATTGAACCATATGGGCTCATACGCTTGAGGAGTGATCTATGTTTCTGAACGTATTCTCCTTGCATTACTATGTTTCTGAACGTATTCTCCTTGCATTATATAACTGTGCTCACCTTGTATGACATCGTGTAGGATGGACGAAAACCCTGATACCGTCATTCTATGAGCCACCTTTGAACTTTGTACAGTGTGAGAAATATTCAGGAAATCCGGTTCAAGCAGAACCTGAAAGCGACAACAAGAACAGTGACCTGCACGTCCCCTGGGAATTCATGTAATACTGTCTTATTATGTCATACAACTCACAACGTGGTGGCCGGCCTTAGCCAATTCGTCAGCTATCCTTCCATTCGAGATCATATGAGACCGACTAATTGTTGGAGAAAATACCAAGATCTTATAGGAATCAACAACCAGGAAACCACATAATAAAATCAAAATGAGCATCTACCCTGCAGTGGAAACGTTTATAGTTAATCGCGTATAGAAACGGGCGGAGGTGGTGCAGTGGCAAATGGCGCACTATGTCACACGCACGGTCAGGGGTTCGAATCC